ATTGTCGCAAATCTTCTCACGCTCCCTCCACACCTTATCTTCTTTGTCACAATCTTCTTTGCATAAATTTGTGTCGTCTCATAAAATATCATCCTATGAATTTTACATGTACGATTGCGTAAATGAAAACGTAAGAAGTAAGTCCTCTCTCATTCAAAATTTCATAATTTTATGTATAAACATTTTGAATTAACCACAATATAAGTATGTACTGAGTAAATCGTAAGTTTCAATATAAGATTATTTTGATTAAAATAGTAAATCAAGTTACCAAGATAAAGTGTAAAAATCTTATTAAATCTTTTTTCTAATTTGTTTATTTTAAATATTCAATATTTTAAAAATAGTCAAATTGTATGGAAATATTTTTATTTCATATCATAATTAGTCATCTTACCATAAAAAAAGTTTTAGGTAAGATATGCATTGAGTCAATCTCATAGTATATGTATTATCCATTTGTCTAAAAATAAAGTACATAATCATGACACGTATAATTCTCTTAGAAAATATAGTCTTAAGTCTTTTAGTCACTTAATTATAAATTATAAATTTCTTTGAGTAATCACAAAATAGTCTTTTCAAATAAGGTAGTGTTATTAAGCATTAATTATCTATGTAGTACTTTATAGTTGAGATTTATTCACTCATTATCCTCCGTATATGTTTGTTAAATGGATGTTCAGTGGAGAAAATTAAGGTATTTTCCACATTTAAATATAGAGTAATTTTTCAAAATGACCCTTTCGGATTAACCTTTTTCCAATTTAGGTCTCCGTTATAATAATTATAATTTTATCCCAATTGTGCATTTAGGGGCACCTAAATGTTTTGTGTCCCTCTATTAGCCACTCATGTTTACGCTAGTAAATTTCGAATGAGGATGACCTCGCCTACGATTCCCCATTTCATATCTATGTAGAATTTTGATAAAATTCACGCATGTAAAATACGTGGTTCGTTTTTTTTTTACAAATATTGTTTTGTTATACATATCCCATGCGAATATTTTTGTGTGTTTTTAAAAAAGTAGCAGTTGTGACTTCAATGAAGTCAAAAGTGAAATACCTATGATTATTTTAAAATATTTTTGTAATTTTTCTTTGTGAAAACTCTTGCAACTATATTTGTTGTGTTGTTTAAAAATAAATTCATATCAAGTGAACAAAATTTTGGATGTAAAATACATGTGTTATATTTACGTGATAATTTTTTAATATTTTATTTGAAAAATGTAACTATTCTTTTAGAAGTTGATTTTAAAAATTTATACTGTTATTTTAATTATTTTAAAAGTTGATTTTATAAAATTTTTAATCAAAAAAATAAATTTTAGTTCTCACTCAATTGCATGAAATTTCATGTAAGTTCTAATTTCTTCAATAATACTCTCTCCGTGTTTGGATTTGATCTTCTCAATTGATTTTCTTGTTAATTTTGTATACTTTAACCTCAATATATAGAATAAACATTGTCTTTTAATAGAAATGTATTACCAATAACCTCTTTTTGAAACAAAGGAATCTCATAATGTTTGGTAGCTCCTATTTTGGAGATAAAAAAAACTTTTATTTTTATTTTGGTATTTTCTCCATGTTTATTCCTATTCTGGTACAGAGTATATTTTTGCAAAAAATTGCAGCGACACAGTACATAAGACATATACTCCGTATACAACTTAAATTGGATCTACCCATATTTTGATTAACTCTCAAATTTAATAAGAGTATATAAAGATATTTCCTTTATTAAAACACTCTCATTTAAAAACAAAAGTTTTATCATTTATAAACACTGTTTATATAAAAATAAATACTTTTAAAGACTATCAATACCGTGATGTGAATATATATAATATATCAAACAAAATTTAAATCTTGATAGATTTTTTATACTCCATATTATATATTTAAGGAAATTTTAATTATTAAAAAAGTTATTGAAGACATTAAACCACAAAGTTTTCATATTAAAAATCCTTTATTTATATAAAGCGGAGTCGGAGCTGCGGGAAGACGACATTTGGCAAAGCTATGACACGGCATTTGGCAAATCTGATGTGTCACTTTTTTAGAATATTAAATCTGATGTGGGATCTGACCTGTCACACAGCCTAAGCCACGGAAGGAGGAAAAAAAAAGAAACGCAGTTCTCCGTTAGTTTCTTCTCGATCTCTGAAGAATCGCACCTAAAATGTCGCCTTTCCTTTTCTTCCACAGTCAATGGCGATCTCCGTTCCATCTCCCTTCCTTTTCTGAACGAAATCAGACCCACTATAGGGTGGTATTATGCAGATTCCATACCATATGAACTACGAATCCATTTCTTGGATTATTATCGTTGAGTGGTTTAGGCATATCAATGGCAGCTGATTTCTACCAATCACAGCCCAATTTCCGGCGTATGAAGTGCTTTTTTGTGTAAAATCAGGTATTCTTTCCTTTGATTTGGTTTGTTCCCTAAATTCATATCTAATTGTTATTCAATTCGTACTCTTCTTAGTTTGTTCCTTAAACATTTCTTTTCAATTCGTAAATCTGATCAGTTTTGCACTCATAGAGTCATTAATAACCAACATTTTTCTGTTTTTTATAACAAAGCCCGAATGGATTTTTGAAGCCAAATAGCATTCATAATTACAATGGTAAGTAAACATCTTTATGCGTTTGCTTTAGCATATCATTTTACATTCATATACATATTCTAATTATTCCTCTCAAAATTATAGTATCGTCTAATAAGTTCTTTCTTTTTACTTTTCAATGGTTAAAATTCTTCATCTGTTGTCGAAGATCAACCCTACGAGTAAATGCTTGAGAATTATGGTTTGTGTCGTGAGATTGTATACATTACCCGCATTTGGTGATGAGAAGACGACAAACTTCATTAAGATGGTCTTGATGGGAAGAACATGTAAGTCCAACAGTAATTGTGCATCTTAATCTTCTGAACTTCCCACCAAAGAAAACTTTCACTGAGTGTATTTGTGAAAAAATCCCCTATATGGAATTAAGTTGCTTGATTTTGTTGATATTCTAGGCTGATGCAAAGTATCCATACTTAGCTGGTAATATTGTTTCCTTTTCCATAATATCTGTGTGATCTTATATTTTTTACTCTAGATTTAATTACAATGCCTCAGACACAATGAGCATGCTTTCTGCGGCGGTTATCAAAAAAGAAATAGTTTTAGAGTCCTAGAGAACAAGAATGAGTGTTATCACGTTAGAAGTTAAAGGGTATTACTCCCCCCGTCCTATAATGATCTTCTCAGAGCACTATTCCAACTTCACGGGAATTTATATTTATTTGTGTTTTTTCATGGCCTATATGATAAAATAAAATATTCTTGTCACCACTTGTTTTGTTGAACTTTTGGTGTAGTTTTTAAATATGTATGTTTTATTTTTTATTTCTATACCAATATTTAAATAAAATAGATTGAAAAAACTTGGGACTTTTCTTCGTTTTGCGAACCGGGAAGATCATTATAGGACGGAGGGAGTATATTATTGCCTTACTTTTATAGAAAAATGCATATACTACTTCAAATAAGTTTTATTGACTGCTGTTTTAAACCTTGCAAATTGAATTAGAGTTGAGATATGGTTGCCTGTGTCTCTTAATTAGGATTTTTTTAATAATAATATACTGTATGATGGTTTTTTTAAGATCAAAAGCTCAATCTCAATTTGAAACACTAATTCTACTTATAAATTTACTATGCACTGATGATTTATCAATTTCATTTGAATTTTCAAAATTGTCTATCCATGGAGAAAATTTTTGCAGTTCAAATTTATACCTTAGAGAAATATGTAACCTGTTGGTGTGTTGTGCATCATATTTTGTAATGCTCATTGTTTATAAGGATTATGATGCAGGGTATGATCTGAGATACTATTCTATACTCATTGCGTACTTCAAATTTTGTTCAACTTAATGTTAATGGAAATAAACATTCAGATAAAAATTACTTAGCTCTTACCTGTGGCAGCATTCACCAATTTTTGTTGAAAACTATGATCCAAAATATTGCAGTGGAAAATATACAACTATAAGCATTTAACCGGTTGTTGATTGATTAATCATTTATTTTCAAAGTTCAAGTCAAGACTGTGCGCTTCAAGAGATTCGGGCCTTCTAACAATGTGATTGACATTCATTTCAATGAATGAATCATTTCAAAATACAAGGATTTGGATTCCGTCTTTCCCTCCCAGGTTTGGATAGTTATTTTATAAATGAAACCGTATTCTTAAATTGTTGAAGTGTGTAGCGCATCAAACTAGCAGAAGAATAACTGGATGGAGCTTTATGGCTAGGATCAGACTGTGCAACTGAGAAAGCTACTAATTAAGTTATTTTTTATACTAATAGTCTCTTTATGTATTGCGAGATTATGTGATTTAATAGAAAAGGGTAGCTAATGACTAATGTAACTATGCAATTTTGGTTTGTTTTGGATTAAGAAATGAAAAAAAAATCCAGTGCAAACAAAACATTGAACAAAAATTGTGAAGTTAAAAAAAAACATTCGTTCGACCCCGTGCGTGGCACGGGTCAAAACACTAGTTATCTAATATACATAAACCCATAATGTACTAAACTTCTTTAATAAATTTCTCGTGTAATTTTCCTCTCATCCCACTGTGTTCAAAGCAAATTCTTCATAGATCGAAAGTCCAAGATCATTTTCTGCACCTAGTACATTTGTAACATTAAAGAAATGGGCCTTTTGCAAAAAAAAATATCTACAAGCAAGCCCATGAAGATTGTGAGATGGTCCACATTTAAATGTGGACCTTGGGACCATATAAACATCACTCATTGTTCAAAGGATTGAATAACTTTCCCAGCCGTTGGTCATTATGCTAGTTGGTCTCTTACACTAGACAATGAGAGTATTATAGCATGGAGTTGGATATGTAATGATTGAAATAACTTGCTCAAATCATAAATTACACTCTATCATGACATATAACAGAACTAGCCTATGTATGATACTCCGTAATATATTTATATACTCCGTCCCGCTGAGTTTTACTAACCTTTAGTATAAATTATATTAAAGGTTGGAAGAAGTTAGCGGGACAGAAAGGAGTAAGCAAGAGCAATTATAAACATGGAGAGTTTGTGCGACGGTATTCAGAAAAATAAAAATAAATGAACAAGATATGCATTCAAAGGTGTAGTTGTGAAGACGGGGCATGGTAAACAGACTCTACTTTTGATTCCAACAGAGAAACATACTTATCAAGCATAGATACGACAACTTCAAGTTCAGATACTTGCCGCTCAATTGCATCGATCTGCTGCACATACTCATCAAAGCTACCGCTCTTGGACTTGAGCTGCTCAACGAAGACTCTAAGGCCGGATGCCAGATCACCAAAGCCTTCATATTCTTCGGCAACTTTCGTATTCATTTTCTCCAATAATTCAAGCAGATTGTTTGTTTCCTGAGATTTGATCAATAGCTTAATTGTTAGTTCTCATGAAAGGCAGAGAAAGAAGCCACAACAATGGGAATCTTTTTCTTTTATTGACGCTCAATTGTCAAAGCCTGAGTGAGAGCCCATCATTTAATAGGGATTACTTGCTGGATTATCAAAGAATTACTAGAAAATATACTGCATTCACTTAATATAACAAAGAAAATTATAGCAGAGACCAAAGAAAATAAGCTAATTGGAGAGCAAAATGACCTAAGAATTTTAAAATCGACTGGAAACTGGGAAAACTCATTTCTATGGAAAAGATAGAGGCTAAGAAATCGCAATTTCACATACATAGAGCTCGCCTTTGACCATCTTTGAGACATTGGTGAGTAGGTCATTAAGCGATTCGGCCAAGTTGTCCCGATCATCCTTTGAAGCCATTTGATTTCGCAGATTCAAGGTTTCAATTACTCTTCTCTTTCCGGAAACAAGAGGAAATGGAACTTGGAGTTCGTTGCAATCATTGGAAATCAAATTACGCAATCAGGAATGTATCGGATGAAAACCGTACAGCCGATGATACCTGATTTAGACACCCTGTTCTGGAGCATCACGAACAGAACTGTTTCAGGCAGGGGCGAGATGAACAGCAGCTGAATGATAGGCGAATCCAGTTATGCTGGTGGGCTTTTTTTCTGCAGAAGGCCGAGAGAACGATGGAGGCGAAGAAAGGAGGCTCCGCTTTTTTGCATTTTGATGGATATCGGGAAATGGACGCCCAAGCAGGTTATCCCTCACGGAGATAAAGCCCAGATCCGGGTTATGAAAATTGGTTGAACCCAGGGGATTGAAGGAGGTGATGGGCCAAGCTCGGTCCGTGGAGGCAAATTGGTCACCAAAATATAAAGAGAGCGCAATCCCCTTCTTGTGGGATTGAAGAATGATTGATGACTGATTCTTTGCCCATAATTGATGCACAATAGCCAATCAACCTGACAATTAAACACACGAATTACATACCATGTATGTAGTAGCGTTAGACTATAAATAGGAGATAAATATCTTCCATTGTAACCTAAGCTGAAACAAGCTAATACAAGTATATACGAGTTATATATTTGATCTATATTGTTCTTATTTACCTACAAGTTCTTCGTGCCACCATAATTGTTGGGCTAAATCACATAATTGGTGCTTTCATTGAGATATATTGACTATGAAAATATGGCTAGACGAAGAACAAGGAATTCCAGACGCAACGCTGCAGCAGTTGTCCGTCAGGGCAAGAATGACCGAGCTACACGCCGTCATTCAAACCAATGGGCTAGAGATGACTTTGAAAAATATTGCAGACATGATGGGGAATTTCATGGATAGGTTGGAGCGAGCCCTGCTAGGTCCTTCTCGGACCCCCCGTACGTGACTCGCCTGGAGAGCCACGTCAGACCCTATGGACGGTCGGAGGGCAATCCTGTCCTATTTTGTGTGAGCTTCGTAACCTTGAGGAGATTGAAAGGGAAAGAGAGGCGGTCGCTAGGTGTCTGAAAGAGGAGTTATCACTGAATAACAGGGATAATCGCAATCAACCCTGGACAACAAATAGGACACCGACAGGACTCACGACTACCAGCCAGCCACATAATATGAAGACTGGGAACCCGAGAGCCTCGGTGTTTGAACGGATGCCTCGGGGACGTGTTCTGGTGAGTGAGAGACTTGGGGGAATATGGAAAAGGCTCCCATGAATTGGGAACTGCCACATGCTAGCCGGGTAGAATCATCCCACCATGTGTCGCGTTTGCAACGGTGTCCTTGAGGAACCCGGGCGGCCCCTAGGAGCCAGATGGAGGGAGGTGAGGTGCAAAGCCGGTTGAGGGTCCCATCCCATCAGCGCTTGGGATAGGTAGATCCAGAGATGGGGGATATCGAGGACCTTCGACGACAAATTCAAGATATGCAACGAAAGGTCAATCATGGACGTGTTTTTACAACTTGCACTAACACACCCCTCGCTCTAGAGGTGTTTGCGGAGCCTTACTTGGTAGGTTTCAAGGTTCCATTCGTTAAGAGATACCATGGAAAGTCTGACCCCCAGGAGCACAAAAATAGTTATGCGCAAGTCATAATAGCAGTAAATGCTACGGATGCTCTAATGTACCATTGTTTTCTCCAAATCATAGACAACAAAGTGGCAGACTAAGTGAATCACTTCTTAGAAAGATCCATCCGGAATTGAGATGAACTAGGTCTATGATTTTTGGAGCATTTCGCAGGGAATTGCTGATGTAAAACGCAATTCACACATTTGGCGCCCGTTCGGGAGAAGAATGGCGAGTCCTTGAAGAATTTCTGAGTCCGATGGAGGAAAGAGTCCCGTGAAGTCGAGGGAGCTGATGAAAAATCTAGGCTGGCCATGTTCACGGCAGCCTTGCAGGAAGGGCTCCTTCACACCGACCTCACTACCCATCTATTGGACACCTTTGGTAGGTATGTGACGTTAGAGGAGCGAAAAGAAGAGAAGTGAGAGAAAGCCACGAAGGAGGGGGAGGATAAGAAGAGTAGCAGGAAGCCCTTCAAGGGGAATAAGCCGGGTTTCCAAAGGGCCCTTCGGATGGGTCCTCTAGAGGGACAAAGTCACAAAACCCCGTATTCACCATACTGGTGGTGGAAGTGATGGCGCATACATCGCAGCAAGGGTTGATGACCTATCCCATTTATGTGGAGAGTGTGTGCAATGTGGAGGATACTGGCAAATGGTGCATATATCAACGTAAAAATGATCACAATATGAAGGACAACATCACTCATGATGGAGACAAGTTCAAGCTCACGGCCGACAACTACTCGTATTGGCAATCGATGATGGAAGACCATCTATACTGCAATGACTTGCATGAGCCCATTATCTACAAAGACAAGGTCGAAGGAAAGAGCAATGCTCAACGGGAGCTACTCAATCGCAAGGCCGTTGTAATAACCTATAAATTTATTGATAAGGCTCTCTTCGAGCATGTTTCTACTTACACAAAAGCTTATGAGTTATGGACAAAGCTGGAGTCCATGATTCAAAAAAAGACACCTCGTAACAAAGCATATTTAGTTCGACGGTTGGTGAAACTAGAGTATAAGGATGGCCAAAGTAAAATTGAGCATTTGGACAACTTCAAGGGGCTCGTAAATCAGTTAACAAAAGTTGATATGAAGATTGATGATAAGTTGCAATCCATTTTACTGCTTAATTCCTTTCCAGAAAAGCTGGGATACACTTATGTTTATCCTTAGTAACTCAGCTCCGGAAGGAAAGCTCACAATGGGTACCGTCAGTGATAGCCTTCTTGGAGAAGAAGCAAGGAGAATGGAAAGAGGCGAGCCCACCTATTCCAAGGCCAATATTATTGAGAAGCAGAGTAGGTATGAAACTTGAGGACATTACAAGAGCCGAGATCCACGTCAATCTCAAGGTAGATCCAAGTCACGCTCGAAGATTACTTGCTACTATTGTGGAAATATGGGGCACAAGATAACTAAATGCGTATCCCTGAAGAGAGATGAAAAGGCAAGTAACATTAAGCCACACTAGATCATCCCAACAAAGAAGCAAGAAGAGAAGAGTACTACTGCTGAAGTATCAAGAGAAGATTTGCTCTATTTTGTTGGAGAAGGTAATATCCTAAACATGGCTTGGTGATGCAAGATCTTGGATTTTAGACTCCGGTGCTTCCTTCCATGTTACTCAACATAGAAGTTTCTTCTCATCCTACGAAAGTGAAAGAAAATTGCTAATGGGCTTTTGGTGAAAGAAATTTGAAGTTCGTGTATTTTTGTGAAAGGTCCCGGGTCACCCGTTTGACCAGTTCGAACGGGTTTGGGTGGGTCAATTGGATAGCGGGTATACTCATTGAATCGGACCAGATTTGCATATGGTCCAACCTTTGCTTCGATTTTTAAATATTACTCTGTAAAACTTATGTCATATTCTCTTCACATGATTTGATTAGTTTTGATCTGATTGGAATAAGTTCTTATCTGGTATGATCTAAATGTAGTTATATTTAAAACTATATCTGATCTGACGTGATGTGGTCTGATTTCAATAAGAATAAGTAATAAGTAATAAGTAAAAAATAAGTTAATGAGAACATGACCTTAATAAAAAAAATAGGTTTAGGCTTAAACCCGCGACCCGGGTCACCTGGTTCGCTGGTTCCTACAGGCTACAGGTTTGGGCGGGTCATTTGGAAAGTAGGTTTACTCGTTAAACTGGACTGGATTTGTATTCGGTTCGGTCTAACTGGTTGGACTGGCTGTCCGGGCCGTTTACCACAAAACACTGCCCAAAACCTAAGAGTAAATACGTGTCACGGTTACCCGGCAGCACGTTGCAACTGCTAGAGTGCAGGATCTAAAACATTAACGAGTCTAAAACATTTGGAGAACGAGTACATTCATTTTTAAAAATCATCCAGTGTAACGAGATTCATCTTTACTTGCCGCTCTTCGAGTTTCCGAGGTGTGTTGTATAAAATTATAAATAAACTTTCCTTAAATTCTGTTCAGGTTATCATTAGATTATAAATTCTCCATCTGTTTCAATTAATTGTTTTCGGGTGGAGTATTTGTTTTTGTTTATCATTGAGATTTATTTATTATCAATAGGCAAATCATCATCGTGATAGTTGAAATCTGATAATTTGTATACTCTTTTCGTAATCGGGTGCTGTACTGCTGCATGGTCTTCGAGATCTTTTTGCGTCTTATTTTCAATCCTTTTATTCTGCCAACGTATGTGATTATAAAGTTGTTAACCACCCTTTCATGATGATTAATTTATGGTGTAAACTCCCAAAATCGTACTCAATAACTATATGTTTTTTCAAATTAGTCTCCAAAATTAACTAATTTCGGAGATGGTAATGGTACTCGTTAATCTAGAATAATACTCAGTTCAGGCTCCGACTAACGACTGTTAAAATGGCATTAAAACTACGTAAAACCTAACACTATTTTCTCAAAATTGTACTTTCTAACTGGTGTTTTCACAAATTAGTCAATGTTTGAAATAAAAATAAATTAATTATGGAAAAATATTTAAATTTTGTGGGATGACATAATACTACTAAAAACTATTAATATAGTTTTGTAAATTTGAAAGTAAACATTTTAGATCATTTACAATTATTTAGAAGAATAGCATTTAAATAAAACTTTTAATAAACATTAAAGAAATCACCCTAAATATGAGTAAAACATAAAGAAAGTACCGAAATATGAGCTCTTTCTCTATGTTTTACTCCTATTTATGGTGATTCCTTTAACATTTATTAAACATTTTATTTTCATGATATTCTTCTAAATAATTGTAAATAATCTAATGTTTACTTTCAAATTTATAAAATTATATTTATAGTTTTTAATATAATATTCTCATCCTATAAAATTTAAAATATTTTTTCATAATGAATATGTTTGAATATTTTTTTATTTAGAAAATGAACTAATTTGAAAAAAGCACGCAGTTAGAGAGTAACATTTTGGGAAAAGTTGTATAAGGTTTAACGTCGTTTTAACGCTATTTTAACGGCTGAAATCGAGTGTTATTCTCAATTAACGAGTACCATCTCGGGAATTAGTTAATTTTAGGGACTAATTTGGAAAAACACATAGTTTTGGAGTACCATTTTGGAATTTTACTCCTTTGTTAATTATTTATTTAAAAATTGAATTTAATCTTTCTTTGAAAACTAATAAATTTAGCTTAACTTCTCAAACAGTACAATTATGCCTAACAACAAACTATTCAATAAAATCCATAGATGCAATCTTGGAGGCTTGGTCTACTCAGACCTAAGCCCTACCTTGTTTAGTTATGCATCATCATAAAGTGCGAAAAAGCAATTATGCAAAATTAGGTTTAAAAATATACTTCTACGGTGAAGGTGAAATTCATTTAGTGATGGAGTAATAGCTTTAATTGATATATGGAGTATTTCAATATTTTTATTACATTTTCATGCAAAATAATAGTGTTCGCATCAATTTAAATATTCTAAAAGTAAAAGCTCATAACCCGTTTGGTTAATCTGAACCTGATGATATTGGGTTTTGAACATGCATTTTTAAACTAAAAATTGACCCGAACCTGAAAGTACCGAATTTGAACTCGACCTGACCCACTTGTTTGCTAGCTATAAACATAAGGATTTTCCGCTATTAACTCGATGTACAACTGCTATTCTGAAGGATCATGGATGCTGACTTTGGGAATGATGGGTCTAGTGAACTGGAGGCAGAGTCAAATAATGCTGACTCTGCTGAACTCATCCTATCTAGTGGAGAAAGCGTGCTAGAACTAGATGTTTTTGGGAAGCTTATTTCCAAAATCGAACTAGATTTAGCATGCTCTTCTGAGAAACTTGTTAACTTGAACGTACTTAAAATGCTTGTGGAGACAAGGGAGAATTACTTTGAGGCTGTCGCGGCAGATGATCAATGTTTAAATGGTTGCGCTGACAAGGCATTGGAGTTTGACCTTTTATCTGTTCTCTTGGACTCTGAAGTAAGGGAACTAAGTGCTTTCTTGTCCACCCTTCAGTTGGAGATTGACTATTCCCACCAGATCATACCTACATTTGCGGATGAGGGAGAACATTGTAGGATATTGAAGGAAAAGTTGTATGACTCTGAATATTTACTTAAACACTTACAAGAGCAGCTGTTGGAATTGGAGGCACAATCTTCCAATTTTATGGTGACTGAAAACTGTAAGTACTATTTTGCATTCTTGATTTGCAGGCACACATGTATGAATATGGATTATAGAAGCATATAGCCACATTCGACTATTTGTGTTTGAAATTCGACAAATTTTACCAAGTTTTAGAAATCAAGTAGCAATTAGTAGACAAATTGTTTTTTAACTAATACCAAAATTATCAACTCAAACGCACATCTATAAGTAGTGGCTTAGTGACATTAGTCTTAATTGAAAATTTTAAACAAACATCCACAAAATTATTAAAACTCGCAGAAATCTATCAATCGATAATCAACAATTACCTTTGAAGTCGCCATTTGCTCAACTAAACTTGCTTAATGAATTATTAACTAGTCTAACAAATTATTAACCGAAGTATAAATGTATTAACACATAATGAAAAATGCTATAGCTATACACCTAAATTTTAAAACTTTAAGCTATTTATTTGCACTAGAATTAATTTATTCCTAAGAAATACTATCTAATTTGCCTATCCACAAAAAAAAATCTACACACATAAATATAGAAGAATAGTTTCGGATGACTAATGTTTTTCTAAGTCTAAATGCTGTACTCAGTATTAAGGATCAATGATATCCCCTGAAAATTCTGGCGCTTACTATTCCCTACATACCGGAAATAGGTGTGGAGTTACACATGTGTACAAAATTAGACTTGTGGATTTATAGTCGTGATTTATCCTAATAGATTATTGCAATGGCTATCCTCTTTGAACTTATCTCTTCAATATCATCAGACTTGTGAAAGATTTTTGCATTAAATGACAGGGAAGGATGTTAAGGCTTTGGAATGTTTTGAGCCGGCTTCTCCTCCAACTCCAAATACGAAGATAAAAATGCAGACTGCAGAGCAGCAAAGGCATGTCTTGCAAATGCTGGAGAAATCTCTTGCAAATGAGCTGGATCTTGAGAAGAAACTTTCTGAAACTAAACAAAGTGAAGAAGAGTTGAAACTTGGGTTGCAGCAACAGCTATTATGCGTAGAGATAGAGGTTGAAGATGCCTGTGAAAGGCTGTTTGGGGCAGAAAATGCTACCCAAGTTTTATTGGGGGTTTCAAAAGAGCTAAGAGGACAGCTACAAACAACACAATTAGATTTGAACAGTGCATTGCAGAGAGAGGTAGACTTGAAGTCTAAACTAAAAGATTTGAATGAACTGTTGTCAGCAAAAGAAAGCTTATTGCAGAAGTCAGAGAATGCATGTGAAGAGCTTAGGATAAAGCTTAACTCAGCTGATAAACTATTGAATGACTCAGAGTTTCTCCCACATAATTCTACAAACACTGATGAGAAATGCATTGACATGAAGAAGGTTTGTGAAATGGAAGCTAGAATAAGCGGTCTTATGGAAAACAATGCCATAGCTGAAAGAAGATTTCAGATTGCAGAGGCTGAGTGTAAATCATTAAAAGATGCTAATATGGAACTTAACGAAGATCTCATTACCCTTAGGAACAGTAGTAGTATAACTTCTGAGAGAGTTTGTCTGCTTGAGAAGCAATTGAAGGAATCTGAGCTAAATCTTAAACATGCAGTAGCATCTGAAGCCAGTCAGGAAAAACAAACCAATGTAAATTTTACCATCAGGGATATGGAAAATCTGATTGATGGTCTGAACTTGAAGCTTATTGAAGCTGAAGAAAAGTGCATCATCTTATCTGANATCATTAAAAGATGCTAATATGGAACTTAACGAAGATCTCATTACCCTTAGGAACAGTAGTAGTATAACTTCTGAGAGAGTTTGTCTGCTTGAGAAGCAATTGAAGGAATCTGAGCTAAATCTTAAACATGCAGTAGCATCTGAAGCCAGTCAGGAAAAACAAACCAATGTAAATTTTACCATCAGGGATATGGAAAATCTGATTGATGGTCTGAACTTGAAGCTTATTGAAGCTGAAGAAAAGTGCATCATCTTATCTGAAGCTAATGCAGATCTGAATGACGAATTGGAGTTTCTAAAAGGTAGAATGAAATGCTTGGAAGCATCATTGCATCAAGCAGAGGAGTCAAAGAAGGCTACTGCCAGAGACATTAACTTCCATGCTAAACTTATAGCGGACTTGATTATGCAATTGACTCTTGAAAGAGAAAGACTTCATAAACAGGTTTCTGAAGTAATAAAATCTTTTCATATTTGTGCTCTTGATTTAGTTTTACAAAATGTGAGAAACACAATAACTAACACCAGGGTGAAACCATTTTCTCTAACTAGTGCAAAGAGAGTGATAGAACTCGAGATTGGTGGGGAAAATAAATGAAAGATAGTCTTTATCAAATTATGGAATCAGAATCTAACTTCATAAAATAATAAAGATGAAAGGAACTCTTATTAGAATATGAGCAAGAATCTTAAACTCATATGCATAATAAAGCCTAGGAGAATCTCCAATAATAAGTATAAAATTACTTTCTGGATAACTTTTACAAATTATCAGCCTCAATATTTATAGAAGCCAAATAACTACCAATCCCTAGAATTTAGGCGCACTATCACATTACCTAGTAAGTACACCTAGACTTTAGGCTCACTACCACATTACTTAGCAACTACTCCTAGAATTTAGGCCCACTTACACATTATTTACTAAGTAACTAACATATATAAAATAAAACATTTGACCTTATAAAAAAATGACCCTAACTGACTGTATTATAATTATTAATAACATAACAGAGTTAACAACATATGTGGCACTCTATCAGAGACTTTCTTATCTATCAAGATATTTATGGTCAAAGTATGTGTACATTCCCTTTTGCTGAAAAGTTTTCTTGAAACTTTGAAACCATAAATTCTTGGTCTTATAGCCAATATAGGTTTTCTTGGTTGATGTTTGCATGCCTATGATTTTTTTGTAAAGTTATATGCTCTGGGAATAATTAAATAAACAAAACATACCCATCACTTCCCACTCTGAAGTTGGAAGTAGGGCCTGGAGAGTGGATATAACGTGAAAATCCTGGCCAATGAAAATTTCAATAATATTGGAAGTAGTAAGTACTATAAAAGGAAAAATTCACACCAATACTCTCAGATTTGACCGATTATACAATATTACTCGCAAACTCACTTTTCCATGCCAATACTCTGTGGAATCACCGGATTTTACATTGCTACTCCAGCCCAGCTGAGTCAGCTTCGGTCTTAATAGAATAATTTTGGCTAAAAAGTAACTTGGTAACATATCTAGAGTAATAGAATTAAATTGAACGACGTATAGACTTTTTTAAATGACTTAATAAAGGATTCCTAATTGAATCCAGTGAAATTGTCTGTCTTTTTCCGGAGGGGAGAAGACAAAGTGCGCCAAACCTCTCTGATTGAGTTGCTTTCACGCTAGGGAATAAGAAGAGGGAGAAGAAGACTGAGCATTTCACCGTTGGAGTGCCCATCTCGTCTCTGTGCAACTTAGGCGTTCAGAGCACCTCATTTTAGTACGAATGCATGCGCTACTTTATTTATCACGCAAAACTCAGTTACATACATCGTAGATGGTAGCATTGTCACTTTGTAGAATTTCAGCTTAATTTTATCAAGATGTCACAACCCTCCAATTCAAACAGCCTGTGGTTCTATGACATGTGCCACCATTTTTAATCTATCCCTCGTTTTGGATGACAAAATCCAAATACATATAGTTGTCCTTTTGTGGCACTTTGCTTACCAATGCTGACACCTACCCAAGTCCTGTCCTGTTTCTCTCTGAATGGTACCACATTCAATTTTAGAGCGGTCAATGCGCAAGCCTTTGCTTCCAATTAGGGCTGAACAAATTATTTGAAATACTTAAACCGATCACAAACGGATCAAAATGTTCCGTTCAAAAATGAAACTGACAGAGTCTGACCAATTTCTAGGTAGTTCATTTTGGTTTACGTTAGATGTATTAAAAGGCGACTCAACTGAAAAAACCGATTTATACATGCCAAAATTGGCCAAAAACTGACACGTACCAACCAAATTTACTTATGCTACTCTTTCCGTTTTTGGTTTACCTTTCTCAAACTGAACTGAAAGTCTGAAATAAAACCAAACAGACAAAACCAGAATCACAACAAAACCGATCCATGAACCCCCCCCCCTACTTCTAATGCTTCCTTCCATTGCTCCAACTTCATGTTCAGAGTTCAGCTTTTCCTTTTTCTCGGCTCCTAATGCAATGTGATGTTCGAATAGCGCTCTCTTAGATCACTTTAAACCCTAATAAACATAAAAACAAATATATGTAACTCTGATCCCTGCTGTAGCCCTACTCCTATCTAGAAAGGATTCATGCCCCATTGCGGACCTGATACAGGTTCATGCTCGTGCATACATAATACGTATCATGTTCACATACAGGTTCAAAACATCTCTGACATCTAGGTTCCTACAAAGAAAATAAGACGGTACACTGTCCAGGCCTTCTCGAGGTATAGAAATTACCACATGTAGGTCCATGAGGTGTCCTAAAAGGTGGTTTGTCTGGATAGTTGACTTAACTTGGCTTGAAACACAATGGGTCACCTATGTTTCTCGCTGCATGCTGGATTCAATGTCTCATAGTTTGGATGAGTAGCCTTATATCACAAAAGTTTCCACAACTCCGTGCATCACCGTTGCTCTTATAAAGCAGCACCACCATGACGAGCTGCCATTTCTCAGACATTTTGACAGTTTTTTAAAGAGCTGTTTTATATGTTCGCTAGCTAGCTATTTCTCTCTCCAGCTGCATCTCAGTGCGGATCTCGTATTCTGGTGCATGTTTAGTATCTTCGTCCTCCCCATCTTATTTATTGCATCACTCACTTTTTTTTGGTACTTTTACAATGTGCCACCTCCAAGACTTTTGATGGCCCTGATTCTGTCTTATGTCAATCCCAGTGTATGCTTAATGCCTAGTAAAATCCATGACATTATTGCGCAAGTCTATGTTCTATGGAGTTTGTCTTTCATTTGCTTCAAGTTTGGAAAGATGTAGCTACTAGCCCTTCCACATTTTTAAAATCCAATTCCATATCAACCATAAATTACATAATTATGCTACGTTTTATATTGGGAAAGATGTGCTTTATGCCTTTATTGAAGAGTTAGGATATTATCGTGATTCGTGAAGTACTATTTTTCTCAGTGGTGAGTTCCTTGATGAAAAGTTCGTTATACATATTTAGACGAAATTATAACTTCTTAAACTTGTATGGTTTGTTCAGATATGTTCATTGAGAATAGAGAAAAAGGCCTCAGTGAAGCAGTGTGAGCATAAGGATACAACTCCTTGTGCACCTTTTGATAGAGATAGAGAAAATGCGGGAGATTTTTTGTCTGCAAAATCACCAAATGGGAGTGAAGAAGAGGCCACTGAGCTTTTTTTGCCTAAGAACGTGGTATGTGATTGCATCATCTCTTATTTTCTGTTTCACTGTTGAATCTCTTGTTTTTCTGTTTTGTTCCGGGCATGATTTTTCTGTCTTCTCCATTGAATGTGCTGAGTGCTTATGTGGTTTTGCCTAAATTTTGAAAATCTGGTGATCAACAAAGCTTTTTAGTTGTAAAAAGCACCAAACTATTCTCTTGTTTTTCAGTTATAAAAAGCACCAAATCTGATGCTTTTGGACCTCTGCACTTGTTTTCTGCATGCTTCTTTGTGTGGTGCTTTCTGTTTCTCTATGTTTTTCTTTCATTGTGTGTTTCTTTCATTTCCTTATGCTTGCTAGGTTCTTATTTTGTCTGTGCTCTTTGGAAACAACCTTTCTACTTTTGAGTAGATCTAAGGTATAAACACATCCTCCCAAGACCCTGGGATTCTATTGGTTTGTTGTTGTTGCTGATATATACCGGCCTGGGTTTCTCCTTTTCACTGATGAACAGGAAGGCAATGAGTACGAAATAAAGTTCAACGATGAAGAGAGAAGAAGCCTTATAGCATCCAAGCTTGATTCTGATTCCACAAGGGACATAGATGCAAGACAGCTTAAGTTGAGATATTTCCTCACAGCTGCTCTTTTGATTACGGCTCCACCTCTTCTTGCTCTTCTCTATTACCCGCAAAACACCTAATCCTGATCTGGACCCGACCCATCTTTTGGAGATTAAGGTATCGAACAAAACCTTGAGATCTTTTTTAGTCCACAACATCAAAGATCTTTTAGATTGTAATGTTCCAAATTACAGACAAGTTGTTTTTTGGGCAGGGCAAAGGTAACATTGTGCCCTTTAGTACTAATTGTAAGGGAAAAGGGTGTAAACCAAAAGTATTGAGACAGTTCTGGTCATGAATTCAGTATATTAGCTATACTCGTTTAACACTAGGAATTGGGCAATGTTGTACTTAGAATACACTCTCTCTTTGGCATTACGTGGAGTAAAAAGCTAACAAAAAAAACATTGAAACACAAGCCAGTATGTTTTGAGGGTGCACTGTGAAATTTTGGAAAAAATGAGGGTGCATTTCACTTTTTTGTTATCTTCAATTAGCTGCTTGTTTTGCCCATTAGATTTTTTTTCTCGAAATGACAAACCACGAGTCACAATTAGCAAATCAAATTGGTCCTAAAACGTTGTAATGAATGGAAGTTGTGCAATATATATATATATATATATATATATATATATATATAT